TATATATATATATATATATATATATATATATACATACATATATATAGTAAGGCATTCCCACACTCTTGCAATATTCTAAACAATGTTTCTAAAATATAAACGCTCTAAAAGAGCACAGAATGTCATGATTTCAGCTCTATGCATGCGGATGCGCTCTCGGCCACGCCCACTTCTCCGCTGCAGAGCGGAGATAGGACACGCTGCAGGAGGAAGCTTCTCTTACCCCTGTGGGCTGCACAAAGGTGCAGCAGGTGATAAATAATTTTAAATAATGTATTTTAAATAAAAATCTCATGCAGATCGTGCAGCCCATCCATCAATCAGCCAATTGTGTGTCATGCCCAATCTTGTTTTGAAAAAACGCGATAGAGCAAGTCTATGAAAAACGAACCGCGATATAGCGAGGGAAATTTGCAGGTAACATTTCAAACACCAATACAAACTGGCTGGTTTACTATATATGGCATTATAGAGTGACTATGGACAAGTTGAACACTAAAACTTTCCACGGTGTCTAACAGACATCAACAAAAATTGATAGTGTAATGGACTTTCTGCTAAAGATTTCTCCCTTATGAGTTTTTCCTTTCTACTGTCGCCTTCATGCTTGCTCAAGATGAGAGTTCTGTGATTCAAAGCAGTCTGCTCCTCAGATAAATAATGTTAAATTATTATTTTTATATATGAATGTTTCTGTTCAGTGCTCTGTTGTGACTTGGCGCTATAGAAATAAACCGAACTGAATTGAATCCTTACGCGTGCAGCCGCTCATGTTTTCGGTCACGATGGCTCGGAAATTCCAGAAGCCCGGCTCACAGCGGTCACACTTCTGCCCGCCGACACCTGGCTTACAGGAGCACTGCCCTGTGGTGGGATCACATGTACCTTTGTAGGAGCCGTGGACATTACACTGACAAGAACCTGAGGAGCAGAACAGAGAAACATCGTAAAGTTTTCAACCCAAATCAAAGCTTTTCTAACTTCGCACAGAATCAGCTGTCATGCACTCTAGCTTACTGTAACGCAAAGGTAAAGATTTATGCAAAGTTCAAATCTTTTCTAAGCCCTATTGCACAAACAAAGATTATTGTGTCTGGGTGAGGTTTTTATTTATATATTTTTTTTATCCTTATTCCTAAAGCTACACTTTCTCAGTCCATTCTGCATCTAGAGGCTTACAGCTTGATGTAACATTTTCTCCTTTTGATTGACTATCGTTAGTCAAGATCATCAGATGAAGCGGGGTTTTTTTCTGTTGACAAAGTGCAGCATTATTATAATTATTCCTTGGATTAAGATGAAACGTTTTCAGCTCTACAACTTTGGTAACAATCTCTGATAGTATCTCTTTGTTTTTGTGCATAGAACAACTTCAGGACAAAGTAGGCAAAGGGTCAAACTCACTGGGACATCCAGCCTGCCCAGCTCCTAAAGCGGCCGTCGAATTGTCGGAGCAGCATCCGTACAAAGACAAACTGCAGTGACGGACTGATTTCAGCTCAGTCGGAGATACAGATGATGCAGCTGATAGAAGATGGTACAAAGAGAAAGAACATTTAAGTGATTACTAGGAGGAGGGTTCTGGTGGTACAGGAGGATTAGACGACACAATCTTGGAGCAACGTAAGTTTTTGCCAACAATACGATTGGCTAGAGGGGCAGAGGTGGAGAGGCTGGCAGTCGAATTCAAGATAACAATTCTATTTGCTACTTTACCATACAATGGCTCAAAAACAGGAGGAAAATGATGCTATTACCTGCAGAGAAAACAAACAATGGCATTTCTTGTGAATGTACAGCAGCTGACATTTACCACCTACTAGAAGGCATGCTCTCTTCATTTGTTCTCGTCTAACATTATGGAATTGCGCTGCCACGCTACAAACTTTTGCTGACAAAAAAAAAAAACGAAAAGGAAAAAGTAAGCTATTACTGTTTGTGAAAGAAAGTGCCAAGCCGTTTCAGCCTGCGTGAAATGCGTGGAGATCTCTTTTGTCTAAGGATGCACCGGCTGCCAAATAAGTGTGGCAGAGCTACATTCAACAATATAAAAAAACAAGCATGTTCCTAAAGCTGGCACTTCTCCAGAAACTGGACAAATACAAACTCACAATGGGAGCCAAAAGGTGGTTTGTTTAATAGCCAAACAGAAAAGCTCATCGCTCCAATAGTCCCCAAGCTTTTGGGTGAAAAGTAAAGTTGTAGATAAAAAGTACTATATCAGTAAATACTCTTTTTCTCTCTCTATTTCCCGCCACCAAATCTCCCTTTCTTATGTTGCTAATTTGGAGTTTGGAGGCTGGAGATACGGAGGCCATAAATCACACTGTTACTGGCGTGGATATGAGCCTCAGCCTAATGGTGATGACTCGGCTCGCTCTTTTTCCAGCGCTTTCCCACTCCAGAGATGGGCTTTGGACACAGTTCATTTAACTTGCCACTTTCCAGTATTGCATTCGGCTATCTGTACCGAGCCTATTACGACAAAGAGAACTTTTAATTTCATATGTTCTTCCATCCTCCAAGGTTTTTTTTTTCCCCTTCAGTAGTTGTCTGGCACAATGCAGTCCACTGTGACGTGCAGTATTACCATCATCTTTCTTTTTCATTCTGGCACAAATTTGTCACCCTACTACACTAATAAACATTTTTGGGGAGTTCTAATTAAAACTTAAACTCAGATTTGAGTTGGCATTAGGGGTGTAACAGTACGCCCAAGTCTTGGTTCGGTATGTACCTCGGCGTGAGGGTCATGGGTACGCTTTTCTTTTAATCAGACAACAGTTCTCCCAGGAGCAGAGACAAAAAACAGATCCCCATTCTTAGTGAAGAGAGTCAGCAAGATTGACAACTTCATTATAAAATTAAAGCCACATTGCTCTTTGTTTTCATCCAGTCTGAACTGAACAGTGTTTGTGGGTCAAACAGGGACGGTTCTTCTTGGATGGATGGGCCTGAACTGATGCAAAATAATACAATACAGAGCAGACGTTGCCATAATATGAACGTCAGAGTGGGGAAAAAAAAAAACTTTGTGTGAATTATGTCATGCACAGTAAAAAATAATAGAGAAATATATCTAAAAATGAAATTTAACTTGTTGCTCCTGCTGTACTTTGAAAGACACAGGAAGTAAAGCATGTCTTTCTTCACTCCTTTTCTCTCAAATGCAGCTAAATAAAATAGGAATGCACGATATTGGCTTTTTGGCCGATATGTTAAAACTTATTTGGCAGATACCAATCAAACATCTTCACCCCCCAAAAAAAACTTCCACACTGCCGACATTTGGAATTTTCCTCTCCGCCGTAAGATCAGGTAGGTGCGCGTGACATCGTCACATTGTGCAGCCGCTGCAGGCATCCTTGTCACTGGGTTGTCATAAGAAAACAGCGTCTTTTATATCAGTGAGTTATTTTGACGGAACGTTCGATATTGAACTTTAACGCTAATATCGGCTAATACAGATACCATGCTGATAATATCGTGCATCCCTAACATAAAGCATGCACCTTCTTCTAGATGGGAGTGGTGATCACCTGTGATTGAGACTTTTGTCATCTAGTTTCTTGTAACCATCCAAAACATCAGTACCAAACCATCGCAGTACAAATACACATAGGCTTACTGTTACACCAACATGTCTGTAAGTAAGTACCATTACGCTCCAAGCTGGTCATTATAAACTTTACAAATTATGGCAGTGTTGAAACTAGACTCAAGCCAGTTTGCCCAACCTAAGCCTTTAAAAACCCGTGTTATATTCAAGTTTTCTAAACTCGAGGTCAAAACGAAGTTTCCCTTCATAGAACTATAATAAAGGGCAGTGAAAATCCCCAAGATCTGAGTCCTTCCATTAGCCAATAGAAGAGTAGAGCCCAAGGGTCTTGTACCCATTGAGGGCTCTTCAAAAAAGGATTGATTATCCATGGAGGGTAGAGAAGTGTGACAGTCAGTGCCGAAGGAGTCCAGCTTAGGAAGAAGAAGAATCTGCTGGGATGTGTGTGAAAACACTCCCTTTTTCTCACTCTCCTAAACTCACTCCATCCTCCTCCCTTTTGGACCCAGGGGGAATCAGACAGGCTGAAATGATCACACAAAATCCCTTAAGTGCCTTTTGCTCTGCTCTCTGGCCTTTGCTGGCAAAAGCTCTTCATTTAACGCAACCACAGCGAGGAAGCTGGTTAACCTCGGCTACTTAGCCTCTAATCTAACAATCAGTCTGGCTGATAAATGCCACTCGTAGCATGCAAAAAAAAAAGAAGGTTGTTTATGTTAAAGTTAGTAAATGAAAGTGGTATCCTGTGGCTAAAGCCTATCGCAAGATTTTCAGGGCAGAAAAAGTGACTCATTATTGCAATCAGCTCGGTCCATATATGTGCCCGTGAGAAATATTTGAACTCTGCACACTAGCAAACCTCAGAGGAACAGTTCAGCTACAAACAAGGAGAAAAAAGTGTGTTGAGTCAACTTTCCTTAAGCACACTGCACACACAGACAAACATTTAATATTGATGTTTACCATTTCTTTAGCTTTTGGCTACATTGAAAAGAAGCAACACAGAGAATGTTTGAACTTCAGTTTAAAAAGAAGGATTTGCGACCCCATCAATGAATGAAATGAATGGAGAAATGGGATGTCAGTGATAATGAATCTTGATGCTGGTGCAGCTGCTGACTGTAACCAAAGCACCTACCTGAACAGGGCCCCACACTTTGAACCTCCAGGTGCTTTTTACCCAGACATCTGGCATTCTTTAGTGCACACTCGTTGTTGTAGGTTTGCCCGTCTGAGCCACAAACCTACAAAAGAATTACAGACAAAAAGAACTTCATTCAACTTACACAGAGCAATTTAACAGAAAACAGCCTTGCATTCAGTGAAGAAACACATACTGCCTGCACCTTTCATGCCAGTGACTTAAGACTAAGACCATCTGATGTTGAGACATGACACAGCTACAGCTATTTTTGGTAAAAACTTTAAAATGACATTAAAGTCTGCGCAATCTCATGCAATACAGTAATCCCTCATTTATTGGGGGATCCCTACCAGGAAGCCCGGCGATAAGTGAAAAACTGCGAAGCAGGAATAGTAGTACAAGTAGTAAGTGGTAGTTTATTTTAGTCTTTATATATATTATATATATATATAACGAACTGCGAAGTAGCGAGGGACTACTGTATTCCAATATCTCATGTGACCTTAGTGCTTGAACTAAATGTTGTGAATGACTCAAACCTACTACCACACCCACAGTTAAGCTCAATATTTGTAAAATTGACAAAGATTAATTTTTCTTGTTTTTTTTAATAATACTGATTTGCTGTGGCATTCACCTTAAATCGAACTGACTATAAAAGTTAATCAGTTGTAGAAGTCAATAACATTACAGTACTTTTCACCATATAAGTTGCCCCTTTTTGCATAAATTAGCATGCCCTGCGACTTATATGGCGAAGCGACTTATTTACATTATCCCCCCCCCCCCCCCCCCTAAATTTATAAAACAATTTTTGGCTGAGATCTGACGATTTCATTCATTCTGACGTGGAAAATATTGAACATTAACATTTTTAGCCGATAGAGGGCCCTCGAGTAATATGGCAAGTCAAGTGTCTCATTAATAGGTAAAAGTGGCTATTAATGAGACACTTGGCTTGCCATAAAGAGCCGCCTTTGTCTCGCTATACGGAACTACTGGAGCAAACGTCAAATCAGCTGCATTTCGCCTGGGCGGCGTGGCAAAATGCAGCTGATTGACCATTAAAGTGCATTCATCAAGGAAAAGTTCAACTGAGACGCACCTTTACTATAATGTCGAGCAAACAAATAATTATTTTTAAGTGTTAATCTTGTTAAATTCTTGTTAGGGTCCTCCCATGCACGCTCCCGCAGCCGCCATTTGGCACCAGTCTGCACTTACGGGGTGTCAGCGGTGACGTGTAACAAACGCGACGTGTCAGCGGTGACGCATAATAGATGCAACTTATACGGTGAAGCGACTTATTTATGTATTTTTCCACTCTATTAGACATATTTGGACCGATGCGACTTATACGGTGGTGCGACGTTTTCAACGGCAAGTACGGTACTTCCTGAAAAGTTTCAATAAAATCCATCCAACGATAGACAAACAAACACGCACACAGACACGGGTACAACCATTACTGCAGTGGGCGATACGTTTGTTAAGGTTATTTTTAAACTAATATAAACTCAATTTATTTAACAAACATCAAGAAAAGGCGTCCAAGTTTCTATTGCAACAAAATGTGTAAAATATTCAATATAAGGGATACATTTAAGATAAGGTGTTATTATATACAAGTGGTGCTTATTGCTGTATTTACTAAAAAGAAGTGAGTTTATCTCTTTTGAACTGACTTGACTTGCAACATGTCAGGAAAGTCTGCGTGCCGATATTAAACACTGTTACGACTAAGGACATATTATGAAAGTGTCAAATTTTTTATAATTTTTTTTACATACCAACTTCAGAGGCACATGTTCGCATGAGTATCCACAGACACAAGGTCCATCCTCTGCATCATCGTCCCAGTAGCCCCCAAACATGCTGCAGCGCTCCTGTTCACAGCCCTCAGCACCAGAGCCCGATGCCCCAGAACCACAGTCTGTAAAAAAAATTAAAAAAATTAAAAAAGCACAGACATTCATAAAAAAAAAACATATACACAAAAGGTCTGTCTTTGAATCAATGAATCAAAAATATTGCAGTTTTTGCACAGTATGCTAATATGTTGGGAGCATCACAAAAATTAGGATTATTTACTCTTTCTTTATTCTGGAAGATTAAAAAAATAAATAAAGGCGCTGCTGTTCATCCAAGATAATGACCCACAGCAGGAAAGGCTAGATAGGGACTTAATAAATTAGACATCTCTGCAGCACCAATGAGGCATCCTTTTTTTAATTTAAATTAAATCAGACATAAAAAGGGAGGAAACTCTGGTCTATGAGTGCATGGAGAATTGGTTGTAAGGCCTGCTTTATGGGTGCCTGCTTCCTGATATGAGAAAGCAACTAATTGCAAAGTGTTCTGTAAAATTAAATTATCTCCTGAGACCTTGAAGAAAGTTGTCGCGGCAGCTCTTTAACTGTGACCCTGGAAGGTTGTTTACTTATTTTAAAACCTGCACTTAAAAAGAGGGAAGCTGCTCCATCATGGTTTCAGTAAACGAGGAAGGACAAGAGCATATAAACACCTAAACCTCAGCTGGTATTTCGTAGGTTTTTTTAATCAGTTTAAGGGAAATAAAAAGGCGAGGTAAAAAAAAATAAATAATACAAATGCTTCGGAAAGCATTTTGTTTGGAGCCTAATTTAAGAAAAACAAACTGCGCAGGTGGAATAAAGTGGGAGGAACTCGCTTTTGAAGTTGCACATATCTCCTACAGTGGAAGTCTATGAGGAGATTACGTGAATGTGTGTGAACGCAGGCTAGGAAAGCAGCCTGAAAGATACAAAGAATGTCAGACAAGCACTCCTGAGGCAGAAAGAAAGTTCATTTGAAGCTAATTTGTTATTCACAAAAGGAATGTAGTCTAACTAAAAGCTCCCAAAGCAGCGGATAGACTCAAACATTAGGTTATCAAGGTGTTTCTTCCTCCTCCTGTCTTCTTGTCTTCCTTTTCTGGGCTCAATCAACTCGATGTATTGATGCTGTGCCTCTAATGGTGAAATCAATGTAGCACTTAGCATAACCCATCTTCTAAAGTAGATTAAAGAGAAGGTCACAGTTCAGGGGAGGGGCAGAAGAAGCCTCGGCTGTTCTTTGATATGGGTCATAAGGAATGGGATGCGAGGGCTTTAAGGGGTCGATAGAGTTGAGGAGCTTTGACTTCATTATCTGTGGACACAATAGAGGACCTGGAGCTGAGCGTAGACGCTGAGAGGCTGCATTGCCCCCTAAAAACATCAGGACTAGTTAGGTAATCGCTCGGTCTCCGTTTAAAACCCACATAGCCTCCCAACCTTAATCCTGTTACCAGAAGATGTTGTTGTGGAAAACTATTGATCGCGAACCACAGCCCAAGTTTAATTTTGAGGCAGAGGTAATGCACCCTGTTATTGCTTTTAGCCACCAGTGACATTGTTGCAAGAATTTGGCTTCAAATGTCATCTAAAAGCGAGTCGATCAGACAGAGGATAAGCATTCACTCAACTACGGTTGGCCTCCTGCATCTGTTTACTGTACGCCAGCTCAGCAGGGCACAGTAAAAAGGATAAGTGGGTGTATTCAACTCATATTCTGCTCAGGCGCCTTCGCAGAAACAAGATAAATAAATAAAAGAGATAAAACATTAAAATGGAATAAATAAAAGTGAAAGGCAAAGAGGAGTCCTAATTAGCCGTTGTACTTTGATGTGTCCACCACCTGCGCTGCCTGTGAACCTTTCAATTAATAAATTCCCAGCTAAGATGGCTGCATCAGCTATTCTCTCTGCGCTGCCCATCGGTTCCTTTTTACTCAATCATGTCAGAGGCCCGAGTCTATTTAGCCGAGGGAGCTCTATTAAGAAGGCAGAATTCAGCAGCAGAGAGAAAGAAAAAGACGTGAATCGCATAAGAATAACATCCGAGAGAAATACAGAGGATTTGACAATGGAAAGAAAATTAGAAGTGAACGACACAGCTCTATTGTTGGAGCTGTCTGGCACTGAAAGAATAAGAAAAGAAAAGAAAAAAAGAGTAGGGGAAGGGTAAATATTAGAAGATGTCCAAGAAAACGCATGAACTATACCAAGACTCTGGTCAAGTCGAAGATTTATTATAACATAAGTGGCTTTGAGGTGAGTGGCTGGTTTGACAAAAAGAAGGATGGTTAAGAATCATAGAAATTGTTTTTAAATACAGAAAACAGAAAAAACAATGAACCAGCAAGATGAAAGAACAAAAGTGGACTACCTCCCTGCTAGAGAGAGAGAGAAATGGTAACAATAAACAGGTGTGCTGATTACTAATGGAAACAGGTAGTGTGTGACAAACTAGAAATGGACATTATAGAAGTCGTCTAGGGGTGAAAATGGTACAAGAACATCCATCCATTATCTTTACCCACTTCTTCCTTTTCAGGTCATGGCAGTCACTGGTGCCCATATACAGCTATCACTGTGCGAGAGGCAGGGGACACCCTAGACAGGTCTCCAGTCCATCACAGGGACACATAGAGACAAACGAGACAAACAGCCATTCAGTCTCTCACTCACACCTAGGGACAATTTAGAGTTACCAATCAGGCCAACATGCAAGGTCCTGGGCCGGGATTTGAACCGGTGACCTTCTTGCTAAGAGGCAACAGCTGTACCATCTGATCAACTGTGCCACCCTGTTACAAGAACAAAATACAAAAAAACAATAACGTAACCAACTAACAAGTCGAAACACATAATAATCCAAAGATAAACAAACTTCTTCTTTCAGCTTTTCCCTCTTCAGGGGTCACCACAGTGATGTCCTCTCTAACTGCATCCATACATCTCCTCTTTGTCTTTTTCCTGGCAGCTGCATTTCTAACATCCTTCTACCAATATACCCACTGTCCCTCCTCTGGACATGTACAAACCATCTCAGTCTGGTCTCTCTAACTTTATCTCCCAGTTGTTCAACCTGTGCTGTACCTCTGATGATCTCATTCCTAATCTTATCTATCCTTGTCTCTCCTAAGGAGAACCTCAACATCTTCATTTCTGCCACTTCCAGTTCTTTCTCCTGTCTTTTTGTCCATGTCTCTGTCTCTCGACCATACAGCACAGCTGCCTTGTAAACTTTTCCTTTAACTGTTGCTGCCACCCTTCTATCCAACGATAACCAAACACTTAACAAAACTTCTAATATAAACACAAACTGTGACAGGCTTGTATTATTATATCAAATTACTTTTTCAGATGATATGAGGCACAGTGTCCCTTGATTTTTATCCCATCGGTCCCTTAGACTTTCTTGATGGATGTGGCAAAACATTATTCCAAATAAAATGCTCAAACGATAGACAAATGGTGTGTCATACCTTCGGGAGGAGAAATTAGTTGTTTGGAAATGCCAGAAAGCAGAAAGGAGTTTTGTTGCTTCGACAGAAGGTTACATGTCTTGATCGGGCATGGATATAATCAATTAACTACAATAGAAAAGGCTGCAGATCTCACCTTTAAGAGCTGTTTTTTGGATTTGTTTCTGATGGCCTTTCATGTGTTTTGGACTTTGATACAATCAGTAAATGAGAAGCAAAGCACAGCGTTTGCAATCCTTATAATCTTGTTTATTAAATGCCTTTTCAATTAAAAAGGGGCCTGGGCCACTCGGAACTGATGCACCGCTCTCTGCTGCCACTTTGTCAGTGTCAAAAAGAAGACGCTGAGGCTAAGCCTACCCGGGTGTGAAATTAAGCAGGTGATAAATTTCTCAGTATGGCCAACAGTGGGAACACTGTCATTTTTCATTACTGCTAAATAAAAGCAAGAGAAAACAACTTCCATTTTTATGTTGTGCCCTCCCCTCTTTAAGACTAATGGGGATGGTTTTTAACATGAGCATATAAATCACTTGTTCGTTTGCTCTAAAGGTTTACAGTATCTTTGAGATCACACTGGTGATGTCGAGGTTTGCTGCTGTCAACAACAGAGTTAGAAAATACATTATTATCATATTTTCCGCCATACACGTTGCACCACCGTACAAGTCGCATCAATCCAAAGATGTCTAATAAAGTGGGAAAAAAAAACAAATACGTGATTTTGCCGTATAAGTCGCATCTATTTTGCATCACCGCTGATACATCGCCTTTGTTATGCGTCACTGCTGACAACCCGGAAATGTGGAGCGGTGTTGTGCCAAAAATCAATTGGCTGCCAAATGGCAGCCGCGGGAGAGTGCACGGGAGGACTTTAACAAGAATTTAACATGATTAACATTTATTTGTTTGCTCAAAATTATAGCAAAGGTGTGTCTCAGTTTAACATTTCCGTAATAAATGCACTTTGATGGTCAAATCAGCTGCATTTCAAAAGCCGATTAGCGGGAGCACACAAATGGATGACTCGATGTGCATTTCTTAGAAATTTAACAAGATCACCACCTAAAAACAATTATTTGTTTGCTCGAAATTCTAACCAAGGTGTGTCTTTGTTGAACTTTTACTTAATAAAATAACTTTAATGGTCAAATTAGCTGTATTTTAAAAGTATTTCCTGCCTCGGTGCTCTGGGAGCGAGCAGAGGGAGGAAATAAGGAAGGAGGAACGCTGCACATTTCTTCGAAATTTAACAAGATAAGCACTTAAAACAATTATTTGTTTGCTCGACATTATAGTAAAGGTGTGTCTCAGTTGAACTTTTACTTAATAAATGCACTTCAATGGTCCAATTAGCTACATTTCACCAGGGCGGTGCAACAAAAAGAAGCTGATTTGACAGTTGCGCCAGGCATGATCCCAGAGCTGGATGAAGGTGGCAGTCTATGCCAAGACGATTGTGTCATTAATAGCCACTTTTACTTATTGCATGCCATACATTAGAGTGCCATCTAGTGGCTGAAAATGGTAGTGTTCAATATTTTCAGTCAGAATGAATAAAAACAGTCATATCTAAACCAAAAATTGGTTTATAAATGTGTGAAA